GAGCTAACATCTATTGCCAATCCTCCTCCTTTTTTTTCCCCAAAGCCCCAGTAGATAGTTGTATGTTATAGTTGCACATCCTTCTAGTTGCTGTACGTGGGACGCGGCCTCAGCATGGCCGGAGAAGCAGTGCATCGGGGCGCACCCGGGATCCAAACCCGGGCCGCCAGTAGCGGAGCGCGCGCACTTAACCACTAAGCCACAGGGCCAGCCCCAAATAACCTTTCTTTTACATTATTTTCCTGGGGTTTATTCCTTTGGGAGGACACAATAATTTTCTTGGCAGCTTGTGTTTCTTTTGATTTACTGCTCTCCAGAAAACATACCAGCAATCTGTGAGTGTGTCTATTTCCCTGCAAACACATTAACATGGAGTTTTATCACTTTTGCTACTTCAACAGGTCTGAAATAGACTTATGCTTTTAATTTGCACTTTAATTATTAGCAAGACTGAAATATTCCCAAATGTTGGCTTGATGCTTGTATTTCCTCTTACTTATACTATGGTTGTTCATATCCTTTAACTGTTTATCTAGTGGATAATGGGTACTGACGTACAGATTTGTAATTGTTCTTTATATTTTTTAATGTTAATCTTTACCAGTCTTATTTCAAATAGTTTTGCATTTTCTCCCTTTTTATCAAGAACTTATTAAGGTTCTTGTTGCTGAATTTTTATATGATCAGATCCTTCCAGTTTGCCATTCATAATTTAGCCTACTATTTTAACACCAAGAAATTAAATCCACGTAGCTGGATAACTATACCATTTTGTTTCACTTTTAAAAGAGAGATTTTCAACTTTAATTCTTTAAAACATCTGGAGCTTGTTATGACAAATGGTGTCGGGAGGACCGTAGTACTTTATATCAACTTTTCTCATTAACATCTATTAAATAGGATTCTTTTCTTATTTTGTTATCCTGGACTATTGTGTGTTAACCTTATAATAAGTTTAGAACTGTTGGAATCCCTGTTGTGTTTTATCAATCTACTGTTCTGCTTTGAATCCAATACCGTATAATTTAAACGTCCTTTGCAGTATATTTTAAATATTAATAGTAATTTATCATATTGGCTTATTCCTTTTCAAAAAAGTCTTTAGTGTGCTTAACCATTATTTTCTCTATAGAAATTTTATTATGATTTTGTCAATTTCCATAAAATATCATATTGACAATCCAATTTGTGTTAACTCCATAAATTAGATTGGATATTACGTCATCTTAACTACATTAAATCTTCTGATTCTGCAATATAAAATCTCTCTCTATTTATTCAAGTCTTATTCTATTTTTCTTGTTGAGAATTAAAATCTTTCTTTTAATAGTTGTCTTTCATTTCCCAAATATTAAACATTTATTTAAATGCTGCTGCCTGTGGGTAAGGTATTTCTGAAACTCGCTAGAATTGTCTTCAGATCTAGGTGTGGAACCTCAAAAGAAAAATCACAGAATCAACGACTGTGTCAGCCACCGCCCAAGCCCTTGAAATCCAACCACCCCTCCCATGCAACTTGCTTCATAGGGAAGTCAAGGGCAGCTGGTCAGACCCTGGCTACAGCCTCTATCCGAGCTGTTTTCTCAGGCAGGCCTTCTCCTTACTTTCTCCACGTGGTGTCCCTGGCTTTTAGTGTGTTTTGGGCGCTCCCTGATAAGGCTGACCTCAGCTCAGGGCTTGCTTTGGGTTCTGTGGTTTCAGATAACTGCTGTCCAGCAGCCCCCACCACCCAGAGCCCTCAGCAGTTGGGCTAAGACTCCACCCTCTCACTCCCTCAACCCCCATAGGAGGGGGGATCCAAAGAGAATTTACAGCAGGAAGGGCCCAGCTTCCAGCCCAAAGCAGAAAGCCCCTCTGTTATAGCTTTACCAGATGTGTATGAACCTCATTACCTCATAAGGCATCTCACTCCATTGGCCATTGCCACTAACGATCCTCTTGATACGGAACTGAAAATGACCGCATAGCAACACTCGACCGCTAGACAGGTGCTACCCTTTCCCTCGGAGACACCTGACAACTGTTAGTTGGAAAGAATTAAGAATCTTTGCTTTCCCTTTAGCTCCAGACCAGACAATTTGAACACGGAGCCAAGACTATAGCACCTCTCCTGTGGCCAAATTAGAGTCCTAGACGAGGACTCTGCCCCTCTCCAGGACCCAGCGAGATGCAGCACTGGTCATACCTGTCTTGTGCCTGCCCTGTCTTAGACGAGGAGGAGTGGGGTACTTTCAGAGCCCAGGAAGTCAACATTTCCTCTAAATTATAAAGGCAGCCAGGCAGCCTAACGGGGACCCGTCTGCCTGGAACCCTGAGTGTCCAGGCTTTCCAAGCCCACCTAAGACACTGACGCCTGGAGGAAGAGCCCACCTAGCACACTGCCTGCCTGAGGGCCCAGTTTCACTCTTCATTCCCATCTCCATCCTCAGGCAAACTGCTCATTCTCCTAGAGTCTATGATAGTCACCTAGAACCAGCTTCAGTCAGCCACATCTACTTCTTGCTTGGTTCCCAAGCTGCAGCCCCCTCCCTGGGAGGCCCTTCTCTGTTCTCCCACATTGCCTAGACTTTTCCCAACTTCTTCTTAGGGGCTTTATCTTTGCCCTAATTTCAGCATATTGAGCAGCCACGAGGGTGGGGCAGTTTGTACTCACCTATTTGGGTGTGAGACCAGAAGTACAGAAACTACTATTTATGACGAATTTTACTAAGTGACAGGAACTCTGCATTCGTTGTTTAATTTAGTCATCACAATAATCCTATGAGATAACAGTTTACTTTTTTTTTTAATTTATTTTTTTGTGTGTGAGGAAGATCAGCCCTGAGCTAACATCTGCCAATCCTCCTCTTTTTGCTGAGGAAGACTGGCCCTGGGCTAACATCCGTGCCCATCTTCCTCCACTTTATGTGGGATGCCGCCACAGCATGGCCTGACAAGTGGTGCACGCCGGGGATCCGAACCTGGGCCACCAGCAGCGGAGCGCGCACACTTAACCACTACTCCACGGGGCAGGCCCAACAGTTTACTTTTTACTTTGGTAAACTGAGGCTGGATAAAATGAGAAATCAAAAGTGACTCAAATAAGATGAAGATCTGATAACTGAACCCAGATCTGAAAAAACAAACAAAAATAGACATAACTGAAACCGAAAAAGAAAAGAAAGAAAAGGAAAGGAAAGAAAGAAAGAAGAAGAAAGGAAGGAAGGGAGGGAGGGAGGGACGGAGGGACGGAGGGACGGAGGGAAGGAGGGAAGAAAGGAAGGAAGGCAGGCAGGCAGGAAGACAAGCCACTCTGGATTATTTAGGCCACTATTCCCCAGTAGTAAATGGAAAATTGAGAGCAGAGTCCAAGGAGAGAGAATGTGTATAAATCATATAAAGGATGTCATAGGGACACAATAAATGATACAAACTATTTCTTAT